GAGAATGAGATGTCTATCTGTAGCAGCACTAATCCGATTATAACAGGACTCCACATGTAAGATCTCATTTAAAATTATTTCTGAATCCCAACTAAAGCCATCCTGAAGACAGAGGCATCAGTACATAAATTTGTTGGTGCTCATGTTCAACTGCACGCCTGACCTCCAAATTCATGTCATGGTGAGCCAAACACATTTAATTGACACCAAAAGCAGTAGGAATCTGAACTCTTAGTAGCATCTCCTCTAAAGTTAATAGCCAAAGTCTTGTCTAGTTATTGCCTAGGCGAGATTGGGGCAAACTCACTATGGTTCATCTGTAGGCCAAATTCCTCTCCAGCTGTAGAACTGAGACCCAGTGAGGTCTGTACTTCCCAAGTACAGAGGTGAGGGAGACACAAGAAAAATGTTCACATTCCAAAAATCAAAAATCAAAGAGAAAAAAGGAATGACAAGACCCAAGAAAATCCAAAATCCAACAAGGCAAATTCTACTAGCCCTCTCTCAAACAAAAGAATGGATATGACTGCTTCCCTCTGACAATTTTCAGGCCTGAATTCTACCAGATTTCCTCTTTTTAAAGCTAAATTCAGGCAGAGCATGGTGGTGCACACCTGTAAGCCCATCACTTGTGAGTCTTAGGCAGGAGGATCCTTGCAAGTTCAAGACCAGCCTGGGCTACAAAGTGACCTCAAGGCCAGGGTGAGCTGCACAGCGAGATTCTGTGTCAAAAAGATAAAAAAAAAAAGTGTTGAATTCAGATTCTGGAGAATAGTGGCTTAGGACCAGTCAGCTGTAGCTTTGCACAGTAACATTATTTTTTTTTTTAGCATGGATAATTTTTTTATTTTAATTTTATTGAGAAACAAATATGAATGAGACATTTTCAAAGCTGATTAATAGGACAGTTTCGATAATCAATACATTGTACATTGTTATCTTCTTAGTGGTTATCCATAGTACAAGAAGCAGACAGGATATCCTGTCCAAACACTATTAGTATACCTCTTTCTTCTCATTGAATTAAGTGAAAGTAGCTGTATGTCTATCCTAACTATTTTGTATATATAAATACAAAATGGTCTTTCCTTTGTATCCCCCCTTTTTTTTGTTTAGTCCTGTCAGAAGTGGATATTCTATTGGCATCTAAATACTAAAGGTGTTTGAATTCAGCAAAACAGTCCAACACTGTCTTGCAGTTTACAATATTAGTGGGTTATCCTCAGAAGTTATTGACTTGGGCCTTTTACAGCTCATCGTATTAATATGGCTTTACTTTACATACCTCGCTTTTATACTTTTCTGCTGGATGGTTAAGACCAAGATAAAGCAAGACCTATATAACAAGAAATGTAACTTTTGTATCTGATAAGGTCAGTCAAGTACCCTCAGGATTTATCCTGTAACCCTGTACCGCACTTTGTAGATCCTTTGTCAGTGTCAGCCATGAGGATTAGTCATGGCCATTGCTTGACCAATTTGCTTTCTGTGAAAGCCTGAGAGAATGTTTTTTCTCTCCATGTGACTCTCCCCAGGCACACAATACATCATAGATCACATTCCTCTGTGGCTCCATAATCTCCTTAATCAGAAAATTTGGAGCACAACTGAGTTACATGATGTTACAGTACAGTTCTCCTATGTTCTGAGTCTTCACTGACCTTGAAAGGCTAGGGCCAAAATGTTGGCTGACCTTGCAGTCCTTCCTTTTCTCCAATTTTGATCTGCTAACTTAGGTTGTTAACCTTACTAAACAGAAGCTTATTATTAACCTGCAATATATGCAGTTCACTTTATCCTATCTGTTTAAATATCAAACATCTTTGGCATATCATGGAACAAGTATTTTCCACCAAATATTGATATGTTGAACTTTAAGTCCTTACAGAATATGAAGGAAAAATAATTTTAAAAAACTAGAAATAAGCATTTACATATTTTTACAAAGAAATTTAGAAATCTAACCATATACAGAATTGTAACAGGATAGACCTGTGACATTTTTTCTTATTCTTGTGTCTTTTTTTCATTTATTACCCTTTTAATATATATATATATATATATATATATATATATATATATCACAAAAAACCCTTTACTTGAGAGACAGTATGGCAATAATTGGTATGTCATGACAAGAAGTACATATTTAGAAGACCAGGATGGCAGGCACTCCAAGCGTGACCCCTCTATTACACATCGCCATCCTCAGTGCAGACACCTGGCTCACGGGCACCAGCATATACAGTTAGTCAAGGTGAGAGTCCCACCAGCCAACTGCTAGTCTCAAAAACCTGCTGGTGTCCCCCAGGATCACTGCCCCACACATCTCGTGCGTACAAATGTATGGCTTTGCCCCTGTCATGTTTCCCAGCTATTCTCCTTGCCCACTCCTCATTGTCCAGTCCTCAAGTTCTCACTTTCCTTTTATTTGTGTTGTACCTTTCTATACATAATTCCTCTTTTTAGTTCTTATACTAGGGAGACAATATGATATTTACATATATGGGTTGGGTTTATTTCACTTATAAGTATATCTTCAAGTGGCATCCACTTAAATATGAAAGCTTCAAGTTTATCATTCTTTATAGCTGAGTAATCCTCCACTGTATAAAAATGCCACATCTTTTTCAACCATTCCTCATGTGACAGGCATCTTGGTTGTTTCCAAGATCTGGCTATTACAAATTGTGCCTATAAACATAGGTACACATATATCACTATGATATGACGCTTTCAGTTCCTCCGGGAAAATTCCCAGGAGTGGGATAGCAGGCTTGAATGGGATTTCTAGTCCTAGTTTTCTAAGGAGTCTCCACACTGATTTCCATAATGGTTGCACCAGTCTACACTCCCACCAGCAGTGGAGAAGGGTACCCTTTTTCCCACAGCCTCTCCAACATTTGTTGTTGGTTGATTTCTTTATGATAGCCATTCTTTCTGGGGTGAGATGGTATCTAAGTGTTGTTTTAATTTGCATTTCATGGATGGTTAGTGATGAGGAGCATCTTTTCATGTATTTATTCTCTTCTTTAATTTTGTCCTCTGAGAAGTGTGTGTTCATCTCGGATTCCCATTTCTGAATTGGGTCTTTAAATTTAGGGACCCTAATGTTCTTTAGTTCTTTATAAATTGTAGAGAGCAGACCTTTGTCTGAGTGCTTATTAGTTAAAAGTTTTTTCGAAATTTGTGGATTGTCTTTTCACTCTGTTGGTAGTTTCTCTTAACGTGCAAAAACTCCTCAGTAAGAGGTGGTCCCAGTTGTTAATTCTTTCAAGTATTTCCCTGCATGGTGACCTTAACATGCAGTTAAGGTCACCACGGGACAAGGAGGCAGTGGCCATCTGGAGGGTGCTGGGGGAATGGAGTGCAGTGACAGCACACACAGGCAGGAGCCCTTGGAGCCCACCAGCCCCTATCTCCATTTCCTAGTTCCCGGTCTTCAGCTTCTCTCCTCTCCTCAGGATCCGGGGACACATCCTGTGTGCTTTCTGCATAATCCTGGCTTTGTCTCCCCCACTCTGAACTGGCTGCAGTCTGTACAATCAAATCCTCCCTAAGACAGGGACTGCCAAGGTGTTCAAAGGAAGATGAAGCCATTGGGAAGTGACCCAAAGTTCTACACAGTTCTTAACTTTCAAGGGAAATATTCCCATGACTGGGGTGTCCACAACTAGCGGACAGCATGAGGTGTTTCCTTCCACTTCTCCCTGAAGAATCATTTCTGCCTCTCTGAAGCTTCAGAATAATTCTGTGCACTTTCAGAGCACTCCTCTTGGGTGCCTCATCTATCTACACACCAACACGAAGCTAGACAAAAATGCTTTGGGCAGACACGAAGGACTGTACTTAGAACTTCCTGTTTAAGTCACAAGGTAGAATAACATTTCAGAATCTATGTGATTTTTCTAAGAAGAGTAGTCGCTCCTGGGGTCCATTTGCAACAATCCACATAAATGTACAATGATTTGGTCCTCTTCCTTTTCCATTTTGGGACAATAGGCTGATTGTGTGGCTGTGGTGCTGATGGTGGGGGAGGATTTTTGAACTGGAGAAAAAACATTGCCAGTGAAGCAGAAGACCCAATCCTATTATGGACTACTGGACTCTTTTAGAATATTTTGCTGAGTTAAGACACCTATAATATTCAAATAACGGAACTTAACAAAAAAAGGGGATACAGATGAATGTCCATTTTGTATCTGTGTAGTCAAAATGGTAAAAAGAAAAGAAAAAATAAATAAATGGCATTACATTTCTTTTTTTCTTTTTTTTCTTTTTTTTTTTTTTTCCTGCAGAACCGGGGATTGAACTGAGGACCTTGTGCTTGCTAGGGATGTGCTTATTCCACTGAGCCATCTCTCTGGCCCCTCTAAATGGCATTACAAAAGTGAAGCAGTAATGAGATTCCGGCTAAAGAGGACACTACATGAGAATCATGTGTACCTAAAAGAATTCAAAATAAACAAACAAACGAAAAGATTGTTATGGAAAAGCTCTAGGTACACTGTAGGCACATAGGGTTTTTTACCCCTCTGTGTACCTTTAAACAATGGAAGTGTCGAAAAATAGGGTGAAGTTTGTTAGACTAAATTACATTATTTAAGGTGGTGCTGAATGGAACCTCTGTGGCATAATTATCACACAGAAAAATAGTTTGAGTTGTATGATGGCAACTTATCCTCAGAGTGCTTTTATTTTGGAGTAGCCTGTAAACAAGCAAACCAACACAACATGAACAATGGTAAAATGGTCTCTTGCATTAAACTGAAGACATCTGCTTAATAATTACAAAGAAAAGAAAATACAGAAACATACTGAGACCTGTTGCTTTGTAAGTATGCCCAGTCTAGAAAATTCAAGACATCTTAGTTCCATCAAGAACAACAATAAAATATTTTTTTTCATGCTGTTAAATCCAATATTATGGATTTATAGACTGGTGCAAAATGGTCAGAGGACCTAACAAGCCCTGCTGTCCTAGTGGACGTATCAGCAATTTACAGGTAACTGCTAGTCAACAGAGTTGAAAAGATTGTTCCTTTCTCCCTGTTCTTTGCCAAAGTTCCCAAAGAGTTCTGTTGCTCTAAAGATACATTGCTGAGCTTCCCAATTAGCCTCTCTTCCTCAAACCAAGGCCATTTTCCCTCTCCTTCTTTGTGTTGTGCTTCCAGACGCTCCTCATTTTGCCCATGGTGCTGCGGGAGCTCAGCCTCAGAGTCCTCTAGGTTCTGAACTCCCCCTTTGGCCTTAATCTCCAACACCTGCTCCATCTCCATCTTTATCTTGGCTTCGTGCCCCCTCCTTTCCACTGCCCTCTGTGCCAGGGGGTGCTTAGTGAGTTGCCCTTTGTTCTTATTGTCTACTCCGTTGGAAGTGGCAGCTGCCGATTTTCTGCTTCTGCCGTTCTCATAGGACACACTATCGGTGACATCTTTCAAGTCCTGCGTGTGTGTCCTTATCAACACATTTCTCAGAAATGTAAAAGCACAATGTTTGCTATTTTCAACTTTAACCACACCCCAAGGGGATGGCCTTCCTCTTGTTGTAGGCAGCCGAGTTAGATAAAAATATTATAGGCAGTCAGACAGGGCCAAGCACTCGAAGGAGATATCACAGAAGACAAGATATCTTGCAACTCTTGGGAGGGTTGGATGCTCCTGCCATGGACCAGACCTAAACACCAAAGATCAAACAAATGCTGACCTCCCTAAAGATTGGCATCCGAGATTGACCATCACCCTGAGGGAGCCAGAAAAATCATTAATCTGACTACTACTGGATGGCTACCTGATAAAGCCCTGCTCTACATTCATGCCCACTTGCTGCATGACTCACTTCCCCATTTGGTCCTGGACTTAATCAATTTTACCTGAGCAATACTGCTTGTAGTCCCATTGGGTGACCATAGCTTTGTCCCATCCCACATCCACCTAAGCGAGTTCCCATGTTCTCTCCCATCACCTTAGACCTGCCTCACTGCATGGTTTTATTCTATAAAAGTCCCTGGAAGAGACAGCTTTCCAGGGACTACCCACTCAGGGCCCCCCTCCTGTCCCTCTCTGGGACAGGAGCTTTCTTTCCCTCAGTAAATATATTCTGCTCATAACCTCCGTTTGTTCCTAAAATTCATTCTTCAGTTTTAGAGAACACGAACTTGTGCAGGCCATGTCGGGAGGTCATTTTTCCCTGTCATTTGGAGGCTCCCAGTATCATTTGGAGGTCATCCACCCGAGATCAGTTTTTTCCCCTGCATCACTTTGACCCTTTTGCCATTGACTTCAATGATAGTGCTGCTACCCACCACAGCAAGAGGTAAGCAGTCCTTTATCTTTTTCTTCTTTTTTATTATTATTTTATTTTAGTTTGAAGAGTAAAAACAAAAGCAAGAACAAAAATTAGAAACAAGGACAGAAACAGGGTAACATACAACAATACATATGCCACAGATTTTCAAAACAAGAATAGCTGATTAACAATGGTTGATATATTTTCTGTATTTATCATCAAATCTGTTGCTCAGGTTAACAGATATGGTTACATAAGATTGAACATATTGAATATTACTGCTTGTCTTTAAGCAATGTTAAATTTTTATACATGTCTCTTTTTTTCTTTTATTACCTTTCTTTAAAAATTTATTTTAAAGAGTACAGTAATAATTGATATGACATTAGAAATGGTACACATTTAGAAGACCAAGATGAGAAGTACTCAAGCATGGCTTTTGTATTACACAATCCTGTCCTCAGTGTAGTTACTGAGATTGCAGATAACAGTGTACAGAGTTAGTCGAGGTGAAAATTCTACACATTAGCTGCTATTTTCAAAAAAACTGATGGAAATTCTTAGTATAACCACCTCAGCCATCCTGTATATATACTTGCATGTTTTCCCCGCTACCTTCTTTCCTATCTTTTCTCTCCTCTTTCTTATTTAATCCTAAATTCTGTTTCTTTCCATTTTACTGTATCTGTTATACTGCTCAGATTTTATTTCTTCTTTTGAATTCTTGCACTAGGGATATAACATGATATTTACACATGTGGGTCTGGTTTATTTCACTTATGAGTATAGCCTCAAGTTGCATCCACTCATCAATAAAGACTTTGAGTCTGTCTTTCTTTATAGCTGAGTAATACACCATTGTATAAAAATACCACATCTTTTTCATCCATTCCTCAGGTGATGGACATTTTGGTTGTTTCCAAGATTTGGCTATCACAAATTGTGCTGCTATAAACATGGATACACATATATTACTATGGTATGAAGTTTTCAGTTCTTTTGCAAAAATACCCAGAAGAGGAATAGCTGGGTTGAATGGGATTTCCAGTCCTAGATTTTGAACTGTCTCCACATGGATTTCCATGGTGGTTGTAGTCTACATTCCCATTACCGGTGGAGAAGGGTTCCTTTTACCCTGCATCCTCTCCAGCATTCATTACTGGTTGATTTCTTTATGATAGCTATTCTTTCTGGGGTGAGATGGTATTTCAGTGTTGTTTTAATTTGCATTTCTCTAATGGCCAGTGCTGTGGAACATTTTTCATGTATTTATTTGCCACTTGTATATCCTTTTCTGAGAAGTGTGTATTCATCTAGATGCCCATTTTTGGATTGGGTCTTTAAATTTTGGGAGCCTAATTTTCTTTTAGTTCTTTGTATATTCTAGATAGAAGACCTTTGTCTGAATAATAATCTGTTAAGATTCTTTCCCAATTTCTGGGTTGTCTTTTTGCTCTGCTGCTGATTTCTTTTGACATGCAGAAACTTCTCAAATAAGAGGAGGTCCCAGTTGTTGATTCTTTGCAGTAGTTCCCTTGCTGTTTGGTTTTTGCTGATGAAATGTTTGCCTAACCCTATATCTTCAAGATTTCCACCTACTTTCTCTTCTAGGAGATTAAGTGTTTCTGTTTCAATGTTTAGATCTTTAATCCATTCTGACTTTAGTCTTAGTTTAGTGCATGGTGATAGACCTGGGTCTAGTTTTAGTTTTTGGCATGTGGAGAGCCAGTTTTTCCACTTGTTAAGGAGGCTATCTTTCCTCCAGTATGCATGTTTGGCCCCTTTGTCAAAGATAAGGTGGCTGCCTGTGTTTGTATTTGTATCTGCGTCTTCTAAACTGCTCCATTGATCCTTGGGTCTGTTTTTTTTGGGTTTTTTTTGCCACTACCATGCTGATTTTGTCCCAGTAGCTTTGTAGTATACTTTCAAGTCAGGGATTTCAATGCCCCTTAGCTTGCCTTTGGTGCCCAAGATTGCTTTTGCTATTCCAGGTCAGTGATGTTACCCACCACAGCAAGAGGTAAGTGGTCCTTTATGTTTTTAACCAGTTATTTTTTTTTTATTTTTCATCATCTGTTTCTGGAAGCTCATAGATTTTACTTTTATGTTCTTGGATTTCTTTCATTATCTGTTTTTTTAAACTGTTGGCATTCCTCGGGTGTGAGTGTATCAGCTTTGGCAAACGTGGGATGATATTCTTTCTCATGCGAACACTTCATAAACTCTGTATCGAGTGGTTTAAGTCCATGTCCTGAAGGAGCGGTGAAGTTCAAACAGCCCCGCACCCTGTTACCAGGCATCTGGCGTGTGTGCGCTGGAGACCGCACTTGGGTGACCCTCAACCTGCTAGCGGTGCAGCGGTTCACAGGCTGCCAGCAGCTACTGTTGTCCACCGCATCTGCAAATCCCGGGTATCCACTGCTGTGAGTAGCAGCCGAACACCATGTTCTTTGACTAAAATTCTGGGTTGTTCCACCTGTACAGCCTTTTTTATTCTATGGAAGCACTTGGATCTGGTGGAAAATGCAAATCTGTGAGGCATAATGAGTTGAATAACGTTGGCCTTCCAATCCAGACTCACCTGCGTGTTGCTGTGGTGTGTGCCTGCTCACATCCCTTGCCAAGCCATCTGCTTCTACTGTCATAAGCATGAACTCAATCCCTCACTGATTTTCTATATTCTTTTTTAATATATTTTTGTACCTTTTATTTATTTATTTGGTACAAGGTCTTACTACACATCTCAACTCCTACTGATCCTCCTGTCTCATCCTCCCCAGCGCTGGGATTACAGGCATGTGCCACCAAGCCCAGTCTCAGGGGCAGCTCAGCGGCTGGTGGCAGGGTAGGCACAGCACGTGGTGCTGGGGATCGCATTCTGGTCCCTGCGCTTGCCAAAGCAGCCACTTTTTCCACTGAGCTGTCTCGCCGGCCCTGATTTTCTATATTCTTGATTTGAGAGCCTGGCAGTTCCCACCTAGCCCTCAAGGCTCATTTGGCTGGGCTCCCTTGTGCTGCTGTGGCCACTTCTCTCCTCCACGATGGCAGATCTTTCCCTGCAGAACCGACCTGTAAACATTTATCAGCAGGACACTAGTACCTTCCACTACCATTGTGAAAAAATTGTCACAAACATACCCAAGTTTTAGCTCTGACGCCGAATGAGACATCAGAACTTGGTTCCCCTGGCTAAAAGGAAAAAAAAAAATCACCTAAGATAAATTCCACGCTCTGGATAGGGGTGGCGCGATGGTTGGTCTTTCTGATCGCTGCCAAGAGCCGAGGTTGAATCATTCCGTCTGTGCTGGGTCTGCCCAGAGGTGCTCAAGTCCCTTGCTGAAATTGGCAATCCGACTCCTCGCATCGGCTTGACGGCACAGGTGACAAGAAATGATGACGGGTGGGGAGAAAGGTATGGTCTTGGTCCCCCCGGTGCTCAGAGTGGAACCGGGGGGTGACAGAGACGCTGTCGTGTGCACCCACCGACCAAAAGACGCCCGGAGCGCCTGCCAGACACAGGAGCGCTCGCAGCTAGGGCGCCCATGCCTCCAGGGGCTCGGGCCGTCCCGGTAGGCACCGTTCACCCTGCAGTCTGTGTAGTCTAGCGTTTGCTCGGGAAAGCCAAGGTACCATGTGCGTACGAGGAATCGGTGCGCGGAGGAGACAGAGCAGGCGCCGGCCAGCAGGTGGCGCCAAACGCAAAAGTACCCCCGAGCCAAGCGGTTGCACGTTGCAGTAACCACCCTGGATGCGGGTCACACATCAGTCCAAGACTATCTATTGTGGGAATCTGGAACATGCAGGGTGCATTTTCACTGTTCTTCCTGCGTGATCCCTCTCACCCTTCTCTTACTAACCTTCCTACTTTCTGCGTACTGCTATACGCTGAACTATTTCTGCCTTTGTTTCTTCTATTTGTTTTTCCTTTTGTTTTTACTCTTCAAAATAAAATAGTAAAATAAAATAAAAACATTCACAACTCTGTAGTGTGACCTCAGGCTCAAACGCAGCGTCTCGCAAAGGCCTGGCCAACATCTCCGTCTCTAGGCCTTTCCTGTTAAGCCTAAGACTGTTCAGCCAGTTTTCTCTGGCTTTTCTAGAGATCCTGTCTGAAAAAGAAGCTTCCAGATGCCACAGGGCAGGATACAACGGTCTGCACACAGCACGAA